CAGGGGTGCTTGACCGATGCCGTCACGGCGATTCATCCTTTAAGAAAAACGCGCATGAGAGGGGAAGGCGGGGCTACACGGGAGGAATGTGCCCAGGTCTAGCCGGACCGGCGCCCAGGTCTTTACCAGTCTGGGATGCACCGGCCCGGACCGGGCAATACCCGGCGGCAGTACTGGCAAAACCTGGGCGAACCCGGGCACCGGACTGGCCAGTACTGAAATGACCTGGGCGAACCCGGGCACCGCACTGGCCAGTACTGAATGAACCTGGGCACCGGACTGGGCAGTACTGCGGCAGGGCTGAACCATACCGGGCTTTCCTCGCTTTACCCCCGCTTTTCCTTGCTATTCCGGTGCATTTTGGATCCAAAATAGGCACAAATAGGTTAGGACATCTTTATCATACATATAATACGCATATGAAAGTATATCACAACGAATAGAGGCCGTAATATAAAGTTTACAATCAAAAAAATACAACAAAAAAATGTTAATAAAACAAACACAGGCTTTTACTTGCTTTATCTTCTTTCCTTTGACTTGTTGCGGCGCGGTGCTGTCGGCGGGCGGCCCCGCGCTCGTCTTCGGCTCGTGCTCGTAACTAAATCGGCCGGAGAAGTATTTAAAGTACCCACTAACCTAAATCCAATAGTAGTCGATCCTTGTCTTGCTCCCTGCCGCTCGTCGCGCGTGTCCCTCCAGTTTGCCGTGTCGAGATTCGACCTGAAAAAGGGCGATTGATCATAAAACTCAAAAAAACAGAGTACCTGCACATTCTCGCTTGCCAGTCGCTTCATACCGTGTCGTTGTTCTTCGGGAAGTTGTTCTGCGGCTATCTAGGATAAAGAGCATGAATATTTTAATCGAATCTCTATTAAGCTTAGTATTGTCGAAATTTCTAGATTTCTATTTTTTCCAATAACTAATCTCTCGGAAAATCATTCAACTACGATGCCAAAAATTTCGACATTTTTGCCAATAAGCCGTTTTATCAGATATTCTCACCGTGCTCAGTTGCTATTTTTTTGCCGGCCGCTGTAGCCGAACATTCTTCGTACGAGTCACCGACGTCTTTTCGTCGTCTAAAACCCAGTAAAAAATCCTAAACAGCAAATTACCGAGCGACTTCATATTTTGATACATTTTGGACTTCTCGCTCGGCTCCTTTGCACCGCCCGACTTGGCCCCATCACCGAATTCCAACTTCTTAAAAAATTGTTGGCTTATTTTCGAACACTTACCTAATGTTTTCCTTATCCGCGGTAGTTGACTGAATTTTATCGACCTTATTGCCCAAGCTGTTGAGGTGCTCTTCACGATCGCGCAGGCTAAAATTTGGTAAAGAGAGATAACGTTGCCCTACCTGTAGCGAGAGCATTTCCATGATATCCAGCATTTGGGAGGCTGAAGGCGTCGGCTCGATGCTTTGCGTGGGGCGCACATCATCGAGGCCCCTATCAACGTCGATTTCAACTGGGCCGTAACGTCCCGCATCTTCTTCACGAACCCTTCGAAGCACTCGTGCTTCACTTGACCGATCTATAACAAAAACCAACATTCATTTGAAGACTTGGACTACCGTTGCAGCGCCAACGGCTTTCAGAATTTGTTCCTGTTGTTCCCATCTCTCCATCGCATCATCGCTATCTTTCCACTCGGCTTCCTTAATGCCGGGTTTAATCTAATCGCCAGATATTATACCTCTTGTTCGAGGAAACGCGTTTGTTGCTCGCGGCGCTTTGTATCCCCTTCGAGGGCATCTGCTCGGGATGAGTAGAACCTGGGCAGTCAGATTTATATTTTCGTTTAACAACTTACTTTTCCGTACCCTCATCAGCATCATCGTTTTCATCCCCACGAATCAGCCGATTTCGCATTCCTTTTTGCCTGAAAACCCATTCATTTCTATTGTCTATCAGTTTTTCACTACCGAATCCTTTGATCGACGCGTAGACCGCCTTTGAGTCAGGGATTCCACCTAGACAATAACTAAAGAAATACTGATAAAAGCTTACTAAGCGTCGCTGGGAATTTTGTCGCGAGTTTCCCTCTCTTGCTCGTATTCATCGTCTTCATCAGACATTTCCATTTTTCGATCGTTGAGGTCAGTCCGTGAGTGAGGCCGTGAAATCCTTTCCCGAGCATATCGCGCCGTGTAGTCGGTATTTTCCTCCTGTAGGCTCCTAAAAAAAGCTTAAGAAATGTAATTATAGCCAACCTCTTTGACCGGGCGTCCTGTGGGTATGACGGCGACTTCCAGTTGCTCGTCTACTTCCTGAGAGAGCAATTCAGACATTTAAAAACACCCAACCTTATCAATCTTGACTTTTTCGACGTCTCTGAGCTGTTCTTCCAACCGTTTCATGCGCCACGCGCCTTTCTGCTTCTTCTTGTACGTCAGCAGCTGTACCTAAACTGAATTTGCCATTAAATACCTTCTTTCGGGGGCTCCGCGGCGTCTCGCCCGTTCGTCGCGTGTCGACTAAATAATAGTGAACTAGAAAACGATATGGGCAAACCTCAACAATGCGCTCCGTCCGCTTTGCGCCTTCCTCGTAGCGTCCGTCCTTCCCTCTTCAACTAAACAAAACATAGTTGAATACAAAATGAGTATTAACCTTTATTGATCGGTCCTTCTTGTCGGCGATGGCGCCGTTGTTGTCACGTCGGCCTGTAAAAACAACTTTAAAATGGCATCGGAGATGATAAAAGTGGAAAAGAAAGCGGAAAGTTGAGAAAAATAGTGAAGCAAAGTTTTTGACCGAAAATCGCGAAAAGTGCTCGGCGAAAAGTTTCAAATTGCCCCAAAGATAGTAAATTTCACGTCAAGATGCTGTATTTTATCATTATTGAACAAAAATTTGCGAAAGAAATGACGAGGAACAAGGTTTCATTGACTTGTAAAAACTTTGTTTGTATTGTTTTGTGAAAAAGTGCCAAAGTCCCGGGTTCCGAACGCAGTAATACAATTAACGTAAATCCCGGACTCGTTCAGTACTGGGCCAGTCCGGCAGACGCCCCCAGGCTGTGCCCGCACTCGCCCGCCTTTGCCAGTACTGGCAATGCCGGGCGAGTCCGGCGAACCCCGGCAAAGCCTGGGCGAGCCCATGGGAGGCCGGGGTGAGTCCGGCCAACCTAGGCACATTCCTCCCGTGTAGGCCACGGCACGCTCCAATCGACGCGTAATTGGTTCTTAAAGCAAAGGGGGGTCTGTCTTCTGAGCTTTCAAGCCTTTGTAACTTTTTATACGGCAGTTTTCTTAATTTGAGCGACCGCTCAAAAAATAGAAGAGACTTTGCTCTATCTTTTAATAGTGGTTTTGTCAAAATCGAGCGTTGAAAACGCGACTTCTGATGGTTTGAAATTTGAAAAATGAGGTGCAAGTTATCGTCTGAGCTCAAATCCAGCTAAATACTGGATTAACCGCCTCAACTACATTTTCTGGAAGAGTATCTGTCATGAACTACCCAATATTGAGTCAACTTAGGGTTTTAAAAATTTACGCGACGATTCCAGTTCAATGTTTTCTGAAGTTTTCAATTAGCGATAACTTTTGTTTATGACGGTTTTCGAATCTACTACCGGACTAGGACCGAAGAGCAAAACTTGCTCTATCTTTTGCACCTAGTTTTAGAATAGCCCGGCGCCGAAATTTTGCGAATGGGTCCTGTAAGAGGGTGCGATCGGCTTACGATCTTTACTGGCCTATTCCGCATCGAGAGAAGGTGCTAGCCAGCTTTTTTGGGTTATAGAGGGTTACGGAATTCCTTTATGAACATTTGGAGCAAAAAGCAAAAAGAAAACGCAGAGGTTTGCGGCCTCGGGAATCGAACCCGCACCCCCTGTCTCGGGGCTGGACCGCCGCCTTAGACCACTACACCACGCCTCGACCACCCCTCCCGTGCGCGCTCTGAAACGCCGTGCCGTCGCTATCCCTTTAATACGTTGGCAATATTTGTTTTTGTCAACGGGAGGAAAAAAATCAACATAATCGAGGCCGATCTTTGATGATTTTAACTAAAGGATCGCTTTAAAAGTGGCATATCTCGAGTTTTAAAGATAAGGAGAAAATTCGGAAAACGAGTTGATGAGCAGCATGGTCGATTCTATCTGTGTGCTAATTCTTTTCATTATTCCGGTTTCATGGTTGAATAATTCTGGGTCCGGGTCTATTCAAGGCTCCCCTAGTTAAGGCCCTAGCATGTGCGCTAGATATTAATATTCATGCGCTTTGTGCGGACCTGCACCTACGCATGCCCCCTAGCAATAACGACCACCTCTAATAACGTCCTGCAAAAAGCGCTTTTTTTTTTTCCTCGAATTAACGCCCTTTTCTCATAAAAATATTGATTTTGGTGGCCCTAAAAACCGGTGACCGGTTAGATATGTAAAGTGCGGGCATATAAGTAATACTACCGACATCTGCAGGCCTGAAAAAGCTTACTTGTTCGAAGCCCTGCCCTTTGTATCTGCACAGGAAGCGATAGGTGCAGCTCCTGACCGCATTTGTAAAGTTAACGTCGGAAAATCAGAACTGTAGCAGCGCACCTTGCGGAAAGAGGCTTGCGAAGCTTCCGAAAACAGCTTCAAAAAGAGCTAGTCATTAGTTAGCCAGTATTTGTAAAGTACGCCTCGAAATATATGAAAAACTAAAGCGTCTACTTTCCAAAACGGCATACTTTGCAAGCAGGAGGCTTCAAAAAGCGTTCCGCAACGTATAGCTTTTTATTTTATGTCTCCTGTACCCTAACTTTTAGTTGTTTTCCGCTCCTACGGTAACTAACACGATCCTGGCTCTTCTTTTTCATTTTTCCGCCGTACCCGGCCTGGCACGCTAAAACTCGTACCAACGTGAAAATTTTCATCTAGAGCTTGCATCCAGCCGCGCGCTTCCGGATTTTCCATCAGATCTGCGCCCATATCTTTTCCGGTGAGCCATTTCAGTTTTCGGTCTTTTACTTGTCACTTTTTTCAGAAAGATCCGCATTTGCAAGAAAAATATGACTTCTGAAGTCCTTGATCTGCTCAAGAACCTCGACCTCTCCGAGCCGAAGAAGCTGCCACCGGGCAAGAGCGGCAAGCCGACGAAGATCGCCACCAATTCGTATCGGTAATCTTCTTTCCATTTCCTTTTCATTACTTTATCAGTCTCACGATCGCGAAGGGCCACGCCATCTTCAAGTACGATGTTCGCATCTACGAGACCTACGTCAACAAGCAGGGCGTCGCTTCGCTGAAAGAACTTTGCAAGCAGACCAAAGACGAGTGAGTTTTCTATCTATCCCCTTCTCTATCTACCAATTCAGCTTCACCGAGCAAGATCGCAAGGCGAAGACGGTCTTCCTGCTCAAGCTGTTGACGGAGAAGAAGTTGCTGCCGTTCGGAAAGCTCGAAGAAGTCGTGTATGATCGCGCGGCGATCCTCTTCAGCCTGAAGAAGTACCCGGCGGTCAACAAGCTCTTCGATGCGGCTACCCTCAAGGATATGAACTACAAGTGCTCTGAGGAATGCACCGGCGTACAATTCGAGCTCAAGCCCGTTACCGAGGACTACGCTGTTGGTGTTTTAGCGTATAGGGCTCGAAACTTCGCTCTCTAAATGCAAATTCTTTGCAAACCTTCCTGAATTGTGAACTTTAGCTGATAACCGACGATGCCTTCCGGGATGGTGATGGTAACATCTTGGAGTTCCTGAACCTGCTGACGTCTCAACACGCTTTCGTCCGCACCGACAAGTTCATCGTCTACCAGTCGAACCGTGCCTTCCTCTTCGACCCCTCTGAGGCCGGATTCCGCGAGGCCGATTGCCCCGCCCTTCCGGACGGCAAGTACCTCGGAATTGGATGCGGCAAGAGCGTGCACATCGCCGAAGGCGCTTCGAAGGGCAACGTCGGCCCCATCGTCACCGTTGACGGTTTGTGATATTCTCTAGATACAATGTATTGTTTTTAGTGATCAAGACGGCCTTCCATGGCGAAAACGTCGGCCTCCACATCAAGGTGGCGGCCATCTTGAACTGCCCGGTCGATAAGCTGGAGAGCATCTACTCGCCCGACAAGCTGGTTCGAATCAAAGACCAACTGAAAGGTTTTTAATAATTTCTATTTTCTTTACATTTATTCAGGTCTCACGGTGCAACCGAGCTACCTGAAAACCCAGCGGGTCATCAAGATCAAGCAGACGGGGCTCTCGGCGAACAAGCACGAGCTCGATATTGATGGAAAGAAGCTGACGGTGACCAAATACTTCCTGCAGAAATACAATATTCAGCTCAAGTAAGTCTTACTTTGCGCGAGTAAGTTTTTTGTTATGTTTAGGTACCCATCGTACACGGTCGTTGACGACCGCGGCTCGGTCTACCCAATCGAATGTCTCATCGTCGCCCCGAATCAGCGTGTCAGCGGAAGTCAGCAGTCGCCGGACCAGATGAAAACCCAGATCAAGGTAAGGGTACCTGTTGGTACCTTTGCAATTTTTATTGATCTTTCAGGCTTGCGCGACGCTGCCCGCCATTCGTAAACAACAAACCGACCGTCTGATGAAGTCGATGGAGCTGTCGCCTACTTCTTCGAACAAGCACCTCGCTGCAAACAGCGCGAAGATCGAATCGGGCCCGCTGATGGTCGATGCTCGCGTCCTCCCGGTTCCGGTCGTTAGCAACCAGTCGAACAGGCCGATCCCCGTTCAGGATGTATGATTTCAACGATCTCCTCACGTAGTTCTTTTAGGCCAAATGGTCGAACAACGGCTTCGCCAAACCGGCGGTGGTGGCTGATTGGGTTGTCTTCCTTCTTCTCGACGAAAGGGACTCTCGAACGAATCCGATCAACGAGGCGAAGAGGGTCGCCAAGACCCTGATGGACATCGGCCGACAAAATGGCATGCACGTCGGAGAGCCGAAGGAATATTTGTCGGTGGACCGCTTTAAGGTATAGTTGTGGTTTCAATTATGTATTTAATCCTTCACAGTTGACCAACGCCTTCGAGGAGGCCAAGAAGAAGGCCGTCAAGTTCATCTTGTTCCTCCAGAGCGGCACGCTTCATCACCATGGTAATAGTTCCGCGATTTTCTTCAACCTCATCTAGGGGAAATCAAGGCCCTGGAGCAGAAGTACCAGATCCTCACACAGGATCTCCAGTACAAGCGCACCACCGAGACTGGCCGCCGCGACACCATGAAGAATATCGTGCAAAAGATGAATATGAAGTTCGGCGGACTGAACCACTACGTCCTCGACACGGGCAAGATAATCAAGCAGCGAAATTTGATCATCGGTGTTGAGGTGCGTTGACCCTTACTTGTGTCTTTTTATCTCACCTCCTTGGCGCGCGCTGCCGGCAAGATCCTCAAGCAGAGCAGCCAGCTCATTGTCGCTGCTCTGCTTGATGATCTTGCCGGAATCGTCGTGCCGACCCTTGAGCTCGCCGTGAATTTTTGATCACTTATGTTAGGAACACTTCATATTCTTTTTTTAGTTTACGCACCCTCCGCCTACTGCTCCTGGCCAGCCGCCGGCTAGCCCATCAGTTCTGGGCTTCTCGTCCAACTGCTCCGGCGACCTGCAGAGCTTCGTTGGCGACTACAAATTCATCCAAGCTCGCGCTGGTGACGATCGTTCGGCTATCGATGGCCCGCTGAAGCAGCTGTTCAAGGAGTGCCTCAGCCGGTTCAAGGTCTCTTACGGCGCTATCCCGGAGACGATCTGGCTGTACCGCAACGGCGCCTCCGAGGGCCAATTTCCTGTGGTACGTTTCTTTCTTTCAACTCTTTAGTATATTTGGTTTAGTTGCTGAACAAGGAAATCCCGCTGTTCTACCAGGCCGTCCACGAGTTGACCAAGGGCTCCTACAACCCGAAGCTCGTTTATATTGCTGTCAGCAAGGACCACGTCCATCGCTTCTACCCGGAGAATTGCCAGGGAGGCTCGGCGACGCTCCAAAACGTTCGCCCGGGCACCGTCATCGACAACGGCATCGTCTCGCCTTCTCGCAGCGAATTCTTTTTGAACGCTCATCTGGCCTTCCAGGTTGACAATGTTCTCTCATCCTTTTAATGATTTTTGCAGGGAACGGCGAAGGCGCCGAAATACACCATCCTTCGAAATGGCAGTGATGTGAACAAGCCTATCTACACCATGGACCAGATCCAAGGTACATTTTCCGATCTTTGTTTTACTCCGTTTATTTAGAGCTGACGCATGCCCTGACCTTTCTCCATGGAATCGTCAGTATGGCCATCTCCCTTCCAGCCCCGCTGCGCGTTGCCTCGGAAAGCGCCAAGCGCGGCAGCTCCAACTACACCCAGGAGCGCATCAAGCCAGTGTATGTTTTTGCTTGCTTTTCAATACTATTCTTTGGTTTAGTCACGGCAATGTCGACCTGGAGGACATTGAAGTGCTCAACAAGGAGATGGTCTACAGCGGCCGCCAACTCTCCAAGGTGCGCTTCAACGCCTGAGAGCATCGAAGCTGACAGACCATTCGATCTTTAATTTTATTGCTACTCGGTTATTATGTTCGTTCATTTTTTTGTAAATAAAACGTTTATGGTTTGCGCGAACATTTGCCAACCAGAGTAGCATCTGAAATTTGCCCGAGCCAGTCTGAACATCGTTTTTCCAACTTTACCACAAGCGCAGATTGGCATCGTACGATTTCTTGAGCACGATTGCTGCCATACGGCTTGAGAGGGAGCGAGGAGTCAATTTTTTTAGGTGTGTGAAAAACTTTCGCTGTAGATATATAGTTATATGAAAACCATGCTATTTTGTTAGGGGCTTGGTGAAGAGCTAAAACTTGTTATGTTCGGTATGCGATGAAACTGTAAAGGATTGGCAAGAGAGGGGAAAAGCCCCGGAAACGGCTGGGTGCCATGGCGTGAATCAGCCCATCCTTTCCCTCATACTCGGCCTCGAGCGAGGGTGATGCGGGACGCTTGTAGATCAGCGGACGAGCACGTGTAAGGAAAAGAGGAGGTCGCGGGTTCGACTCCCGCCGTGCGCAACCCCGTTTTACCATTGCTCGAAAGTTTATGAAACCAGAAGTCAGTTTTCGCTATCTAATCTCGAGCTTGCAGAATTGAGTCAGTTTGCAAAGTAATTTGGACGTTTTCACGTCACAGTTGTCGCATTTGGTTGACGGCGTCCAATTATGATTCTGCGGTATCTGCCAACTCCCCGGATTTCCTGAAAGTTTTCAGCGTGTCTGTCCTGGCACGATTACACAAAACGAAAATTTTCACTGAAAACATCCGATGGCGGCTCACTTCCGCGTTTTTCATCACATCTGCACCAATATCTTTTTCGGTGAGTGGTTCCCACTCTTACTATTTTTTTTGCATTTAGAAAGATCCGCATTTGCAAGAAAAAATGACTTCCGAAGTCGTTGATCTGCTCAAGAACATCGATCTCTCCGAGCCGAAGAAGCTGCCACCGGGCAAGAGCGGCAAGCCGACCAAGATCGCCACCAATTCGTATCGGTAATATTCTTTCCAGTTCCTTTTTCATTACTTTATCAGTCTCACGATCGAGAAGGGCCACACGATCTTCAAGTACGATGTTCGCATCTACGAGACCTACGTCAACAAGCAGGGCGTCGCTTCGCTGAAAGAACTTTGCAAGCAGACCAAGGACGAGTGAGTTTTCTATCTATCCCCTTCTCTATCTACCAATTCAGCTTCACCGAGCAAGATCGCAAGGCGAAGACGGTCTTCCTGCTCAAGATGCTGACGGAGAAGAAGTTGCTGCCGTTCGGAAAGCTCGAAGAAGTCGTGTACGATCGCGCGGCGATCCTCTTCAGCCTGAAGAAGTACCCGGCGGTCAACAAGCTCTTCGATGCGGCTACCCTCAAGGATATGAACTACAAGTGCTCTGAGGAATGCACCGGCGTACAATTTGAGCTCAAGCCCGTTGCCGAGGACTACGCGGTTGGTGTTTGAGTATATGGGACCAGAAAATTCGCTGTCCTCATGCGAAAAATTGCGAATTCTTTGCAAACTTTCCTAACTTGTGAATTTAGCTGAAAACGGACGACGCCTTCCGGGATGGTAATGGAAACATCTTCGTGTTCCTGAACCTGCTGACGTCCCAGCATGCTTTTGTCTGCACGGACAAGTTCATCGTCTACCAGTCGAACAAGGCCTTCCTCTTCGACCCCTCTGAGGCCGGATTCCGCGAGGCCGATTGCCCCGCCCTTCCGGACGGCAAGTACCTCGGAATTGGATGCGGCAAGAGCGTGCACATCGCCGAAGGCGCTTCGAAGGGCAACGTCGGCCCCATCGTTACGATTGACGGTTGGTATTTTTCCATTAACAAAATCTTGTGTTTTTAGTTGCCAAGACGGCTTTTCATCGCAAAGGCATCGAGCTTCACGTCAAGGTGGCGGCCATCTTGAACTGCAAGGTCGAACAGCTGGAGAGCGTCTACTCTCCCGACAAGCTGATTCGAATCAAGGACCAACTGAAAGGTTTTTAGTACTTTCTATTTTCTTTACATTTATTCAGGGCTCACGGTGCAACCGAGGTACCTGAAAAGCCAGAGGGTCATCAAGATCAAGCGGATCGGCCCCTCGGCGAACAAACACTCCTCGATATTGATGGAAAGAAGATGACGTTGGCCGAGTACTTCCAGGAAAAGCACGATATGCATCTCAAGTTGGCGTCGCAGATTTGAAGTGATTCACTGTTTTAGATATCCATCCTACACGGTGATTGACGAGCACAAGTCGATCTACCCAATGGAATGCCTCACCGTGGCCCCGAATCAGCGTGTCAGCGGCAGTCAACAGTCGCCGGACCAGATGAAAAACCAAATTCAGGGTAAGAAGATGCACTTTGTGCATTGTATCTTTTTTACAGTTTTGTGCCACCCGGCCCGACATTCGTCAGAGGCAAACCGACCTTCTGATGAAGTCGATGGAGTTGTCGCCGACTTCTACGAACCAGCACCTGGTTGCCAACCACGCGAAAATCGAGTCCGGCCCACTAATGTTAGACGCTCGCGTCCTGCCGATGCCGGTTGTGAGCAACCATTCAGACCAGTCCCTCGCGAAGAAGGTAGATTTTTCAATTTTCCGGGAATGGCTTCTTAGGCGAAATCGTCGGACGGATTTTCGAAGCCGGCTATACTCATGGATTGGGTTGTTGTGCTGCTCAACGGAGCGAAAAACACTAAGAAGAAGTCCCCCACGAATCCTATCGACCAGGTCGAGAAGCTGGTCAAAAAATTGATGGAGATCGGACAACAAAATGGCATGCACATCGCTCCGCCAACGGAATACCGGTCTGTGGACCGCTACAAGGTATTTCGATTGCATTAGCATTAGATCTCTCTCAGTTGTCTGACGCTTTCGAGGAGGCCAAGAAGAAGGCCGTCAAGTTCATCTTGTTCGTTCAGAGCGAATCTCTTGAGCTTCATGGTAATATTTCGCGCTTGTTTTCAATCCTATTTAGGTGAAATCAAGGCCCTGGAGCACAAGTACCAAATCCTGACGCAGGATTTGCTTTTCAAGCGCGTCACCGAGACTGGCCGCCGCGACACCATGAAGAATATCATTCGGAAGATGAATATGAAGTTGGGCGGACTCAACCACTACGTCCTCGACACCGGCAGGATCATCGAGCAGCGCAATTTGATCATCGGCATCGAGGTGCGTAGGTTTTGAAATTGACCTTGACTTGTTTTCTTTAGTTTACGCACCCGCCGCCGACTGCTCCAGGCCAGCCGCCGGCTAGCCCATCGGTGCTCGGCTTTTCGTCGAATAGTTCCGGCAACCTGCACGGCTTCGTTGGCGACTTCAAATTCATCCAAGCTCGCGCTGGTGACGATCGCTCGGCTATCGATGGCCCGCTGAAGCAGCTGTTCAAGGAATGCTTGAACCGATTCAAGGACTCTTACGGCGCTATGCCGGAGACGATCTGGGTGTACCGCAACGGCGCCTCGGAGGGCCAATTTCCTGTGGTACGTTTCTTTCCTTTTCCCCACTCTATTCTAATTTAGTTGCTCAGCAAGGAAATCCGACTCTTCTATGAAGTTGAAGAGCTGACGGGCGGAAGCTACCTTCCAAAGATGGTCTACATTGCCGTGAGCAAGGACCACGTACACCGTTTCTACTTGGAAGGAGGCTCGGCTAAAGTGCAAAACGTTCTCCCGGGCACGGTCATCGACACCGGCATAGTCTCGCCGTCCCGCAACGAGTTTTTCCTGAGCCCTCATAAGGCTTTCCAGGTCCCAATTTCCTCACATCCCTTTAATAATTCGTTCAGGGAACGGCGAAGGCGCCGAAATACACCGTCCTGCGCAACGGCAGCGACATCAACAAGCCCAGCTACACCATGGACCAGATCCAGGGCACGTTTCGTCCTTTAAATATATTCGTTTTTTAGGATTTACCTATGCCCTGACATTCCTGCATGGAATCGTGGACACGGCCATTTCGCTTCCAGCCCCGCTGCGGGTCGCCTCGGAATGCGCCAAGCGCGGCAGCTCCAACTACACCCAGGAGCGCATCAAGCCAGTGTATGTTTTTGCTTTCTTTTCAATACTTCTTTGGTTTAGTCACGGCAATGTCGACCTGGAGGACATTGAAGTGCTCAACAAGGAGATGGTCTACAGCGGCCGCCAACTCTCCAAGGTGCGCTTCAACGCCTGAGCGCCGAAGCAAGTCGACATCTCGACTTTTAAGCAATTTGTTGTGTTACTCGATTGTTAATTGTTTTACGAATAAAATTTTTTTATTTAAATCTATTGCTAATTAGTTTGACAGTCAGAGCAAAGCACAAAGACTGTTTCTTATTGGATCTGAAAACCTCGAGGCTGATTTTCACCTGCGGATTTCTTGAGCCCGTCGCTGTCTCGAGTACCAGAACCCTTTGGCTCGCTTTCTTGTGTAGATGTATTACGACTTCGAAACTTTCACAATCTTCATTCCTAGCCTTGTAAATGTCACCGAGCTTATAAAATATTCATTAGGTACCGACAATTTCTTGGTAAGCATCATCACGGAGTCTAATCTACAGATTTAGAACACCGGCACAGCCTGGACCTATCTTTACGCAGTGACCTGCTTGGAGATGTTGACAATAATCGGCTCGACGGTTCTTTATATCCCCTTTATCATAGTGGTGGCGACGAGCGGGCAATTTCACAAGAACCTGCTGCGGTTGTTCATCTTCTTTGGTTTTTGCATGGCGATACATTCTGTGACGCGGGGAATTCTGATGCTTTTCGAGTTTCATTTCTTACAACGAAAAGGTTCGTGCATTTAGTGACGTTAGTGACGTTTTAGTGGATCGAAAGAGATGGAGGGCAATTTTTGAGCGTGAGCCTAAAATAAAAGTCTTTAGAAACGCCCGAAACCGATGCCCTGCTTTTCCTCGTCTCGGCTGGTCGCGTCTTTTTGGCCATAATCTCAGCCCTAAAAATGCCAGTGATCGTCATCGAGAGGTAGGCTGCAACTGGCGAGTCCAAGGCGTTCAGGCTGTTCGCTTGCTGCTTCATCTGGGACTACGAGGAGAAGCGGCGCCCGTGGATCTCCTATCTTTTAATTTATACACAATCGTTGTTCGCCGCTGCGATGGGGACATTCTTTCTCTACGGTACGTTAATTTATCTACCTGCTTAGAATCAGTGAACTAAGTTTTAGCTTTTGCCTCAAACCCTCGCGTCTCGATGATCTGTTTCGTGGGCGGCTATCTGGTGCTCGGAGCTGTGTTGCTGATTGTGAGTTATGGCGACTAAAATTGAAACTTTTAGGGTATTATTTAGGTCTACTGGCGACTTTCAGTCTACACTGACCACGTGCTCGCCGCGCTCTCTTCAATGGCATATGGGCAAACGGGCTATCTTTCTGTAAGGTATCAAGTGGAGGAGAACATCCGCGTGTTTCGGGTTGGTGACATCAAAAGGTTGTATAGAGCAGCTCCCAATAATTCAGCTTATGCGCCGAATCGTAATCGGGAACGCGGTGACCATCACGGTTGGTTTGGGCATAGCCACGTTGTGCTGGTTGGCGCCGCGGGATACGCTGCGCGCGGAGATGGGCAAAGCGTTCTGCGAGCTGTACATTGCGTTGTAGGTCCCTCGAATTCGCATCCGTAAGCGGTTCAAAAATATGTCTAAACTTCTTTTTTGCTATTCCAAGCGTAGAAACCTTACAAAGTTTATTGAAAATCACAAAAATATTGATTTTTCGATGAAAAATGGACGATTTTCGACCAAAATTTTTATTACAAAAGTTTGAAAGTTTTTTCGCCCTAAATATATCGGTCCCCTGATATTGCAAAAGCACCCCGAACCCCTATATTCGACGCTTCTACAAACTGCTCAACACTGCCATTTCAGCTATGTCGCCAGCTTCCTCGTCGTCTGCTTGTGGGCAGTCGAAGATTGGCGCTACAGATTCTTTCAACTCTTATCCAAGACGATCCGCATCGAGCCGAAGCCCGGCTGTCGGCCAAGCGGTTTCGTCGCCGTCGACCCAAACCTCGAAGCGACCATCTACTTTGACTTTTATCGAAAGGCATGGTGAACTTTGGGAACACGTGGCCCTGCGGCCCTAATTAAAGAAAATCACTGGCAGGTGAACGCCAAACACTCACAAAGTCAGGGAATCCAGGTGGTGGGAAGGCACTTTAAAGTGCTGACGGAAAACTGGATCAACCAATTTTAGAAGGCAGCAACCAAAGGCATTAGTTTGTGAATCTTTATTTGTGCCATTCGGCAAAAACCGGAATCGACGCATCACCAATCGCTGTTACGGACCGGGGAGAACAGTAGAAAACTTTGCAAAACATGCGATGATGGTCGAAAGGAAAACAACAATGAAAGCACAACAAAAGCACCATGGAAATCGGGGGAGGCACAAAGTGAAGGCGCCGCTTCAAAAAAAAACATGGTCATATGTCAAAACCTGGTGCTTCTGTGGTGAGATGGAGCCCGAGACATTGGAGGCGAGCGAGGCCGGGATCTTGAAGACGACGGCGGGAACGAGGCGGCGCTTGAGGGGCGAGACTGCCCGTTGTCGTGGTGTTGGTGCTGCTGTTGCTGCTCGCGAAGTACTTGCTCCCGGGCTTTCCTGAAGAATTTTGGTACTGGATTGTTAGCGGGGGGACATAACTTTGCGCCAGAGCCCCGCTATGTTCAAATAGCTTTTAGTTCGTTTTTTTCCGCCCAGAAAGTTAGGATCAAGCCCATAAAATGTTGGAAATTGTATAAAATAGTAATTGTAGAATTTTTCAATTTTCAAAAACATTTTTATTGATTTTCAATAATCAAAACCCACTAAAACACCATAAAATTTTCTAGAAAACGCACAAATTTATCCGCTAGTTTTAACAGGTTTGCCACCCCCGCTAACAAGCCAGTACCACATTTTTTGCCTACAACAGCTTGCCAAAGAACCCACTTGTCTCTCCTCGCCTGCTTCATCGACAGCTCGTAGCAACTGTTTTTGGGCATATCCAACGGCAACACCTAGAGAAATTACATGAAAAAGCGAATTCAGCGCACCTGATCCAGGTCAATGTCCTTCAAAAATTTATGGCGCAAAATATCCGAGCAGCTCGGTCGATCCTTCGGGTTCAGGGCCAGCATTTTATCGATGAGCTCGAGTGGCCCTCTGGGAACCCTAAAAACGACACTTAAAATTAATTGTTATTAAATAATGTTACTAATAAAAATTAATAAATGAAACTCACGAACTCAGTTCGTGTTGCAGGATACGCGGCAGATCATGCCGAGGCGTGTAGACCTTGTAGTTGACCAACTCGAAGAATTCGGGCCAGTTGGCGCGAGTAGGTGTACCGCAGAGCTAAATTTCACAAAGTTAAACGCAAAAAATGGCAAAACTGACCTGCAGAACCAGGTCAATCTGGGCCATCTCGGTTTGCCCGGGGAAAAGGGGGCGGCGTATGAAGAGTTCAGCGAGTATACATCTGAAAAGGGAAATAAATAGATAATAAAAATAAATTTAGGCTCTTTCGCATTATCGGGGGGGGATCAAAATACTCCCTTTGGATCAAATTTTCTAAAATAAAATTAGTAAAAGTGCTGCTAAATGGATTTTTTATTATTCCTAAACGTGAAATTTTACAAAATTTTATTAAAAATGTCAAAAATATCGAATTTTCGGCCAAAAATAGTCGACTTTTTAGTTTTTAGAAAGTTTTTCTAGTTGAAATGTAGTTACTTTTTACTAAAAACTATTAAAACACGTACCATTAACTTACTAGACATTTCATGAATCATAAAAAAACATTGCCCCCCCTCCCGATAACGCGAAAGAACGGAACTTTAACAATTTCCAATTTACAAGAAAACCAACCCGGCGCTCCAGACGTCGACCGCCGGGCCATACCGTTCCTCCCCATACAGCAGCTCTGGCGGGCGATACCACAGTGTAATCACCTACAAATAAAGTACCAACAAATAACCCCAATCTCACATGATTTGTGTACAGACGATCCTGATCTTTGTAGTAGCGTGCCAGCCCAAGATCGGCGAGTTTTAGGACGCCCCTAAATTTTCGATAGGCGGTAACTGAAAGGCTCACTTATCCGTCAGCAAGATATTCGAGCACTTGACATCGCGGTGCATGATGTTGTTGTTGTGCGCGTATTCCAAGGCCTCAACGAGGGGTAGAAGCGGCTGAAAAAGCTCACCATGGCCAACTGCTTGAAGACGGCGCCGCACTGGATGCCGTTCCATTTCACTAGGCCCGACTCGAGCAGCCCGTGCAGATCGTGATGAACGTATTCGAAGACGAGATAATGGGCCGCTAAAGATCAAGTTATAGGGGCTTGTCAGGCACTCTTCGTTAGCGGGGGGACCGATTTTTAGCAGAGAGATCAGCAAATGTTTTTCTAATCTTACAGTAGAGCCCTATAACTAAAAAATGGCAGCTATTGTAACAGCATGATGCATTTTCTCGATATAAAAAATCAGAATTACTAAATTTTGCAACAAAAATTTTGGGTTGTTTCATCAAAAATCTTAATTCTCAAGTTTAAAAAATGGTGTTACTTTGCATCTTTTAAAAAATTCGGCAACTACTCAAGACTACAAAAAAGCGTACGATTTGTTACATGCTTTAAGCTTTAAGAAACAAGGGATTTAGCCCCCCACCCAACCTAGGAACCAGAGCCCTCAAATAATCTAAAAAGTCCAAACCTTTCTTTTGATACAATTCTTGCCTATCTCGTGCTTCGGTGATGATGTCTTCGAGGCGTACAATGTTTGGATGGATGGCCGCACATAGAATCGAAAATATCAGAAATTGGTGGGCAGCGCCAAATAAGATACCTTAACCTCACGAAGGGCCGTAATCGGGAAGCCTTCCTTCTCGTTCTCCAGGCGGATTCGCTTCAACGCGACGACATGACCTGAACCACGAAATATAAAAATTCTTTCGAACAAACCGGTCTTTTGGTGTACGGCCTTGTAGACCTGGCCGTAGGTGCCCTCGCCTATCTGCAGCTGATCGACGTAATCGGCAAGGCTGCCGAGGCCCCATGCCTTCTCGGCTGGAACGTTGAGTATTGGAGGGCAGCTTGATCACGCTAAATAAACAGAATATTCGGGAAACAGACTATTCCCAAAATAAAATTCCGCTCTAGCGGGTGCTCGGATGACGATAATTTTTTGACCATACGAAAGCTACCGAAAAGATAAGAAAGCCGTTTTTAGCCTAGTTTCCAGTAGAGAATCTAGTTTTCCATTAATATTTTTTGATTCACGCCATATGAAACGTTTTCGCCAAAAAAACTTCTAAATATTCGGCCGGAAATCGACAATTGACATATGGATTTAGCATACATTTTTCTATTTTCTGGATTTTTCTCCCAATAAATACGAAATTTAAGAAAGCTACAAGAAAACAACAACGTTTTTCTCGCTTTTCGAGCTACCGATAACACTAGATCCCAAAACCGGACACTTTTCTGAGCCATCAGAGTGGGTGTTTTTTCGAAAACCCTATAGATAAATCCACCCACGTGGGGCGACTGCATCGAATTACAGCACGAGGGCAGCGCTGTCCAGGGATGTGGCCATCGGGGCGCGGCGATACAGGCGAGTGTCCGGGCTGCACATCAGGCGGTGGTGGTGTTGGAGCTCCATGGCGCGCAGGAAGCGCTTGCGAAATCCCAGGTGGCATTTGAGGTAGAGGCATCGGAATCCCGTGCAGCGCATCGGGTGGTTGTTGAATGCCGAGATGAGCTGGAGGTGGGCAGTTCGGAGCTGCGAATTGTGGCGGCGGTACGGTGCAGGGCAACGGGATGGTGCTCGGCGGGGGCCCGGCATTGTAGTGGTTCGAACAGGATTGTTGCGCCGGTGCGAGCTGCTGAAAAAGAAAAAGTAGATAAAGAAGAAACTACAAGAAACAGCGGGAAACAAACCTTGTATGCGGGAGGCGACGGTGGCTGCTCACAGGGCGGTGGAGGTGGAAGCACGTCCGGGCTCTGAAACGCAAGTTACCAAAAAGCCATTGCAAACACTATCAAAATTGGAAAATACTTTTCCTATGAAAATCCGACAAAGCTGACAAGGAGCCATTTTCAAGTGATATCCGAGTTTTTGCGATTTTATATAGCTCATTCGTTAGAGCTTCAAATTCTGAACAGGGTCCATCTTTCAAAAATTGCTAAACGGTTGATCTGGCGCAAACGTTTCCCAAATTTTACATTTTATGAAGCGCTAGCCAAGGGCAAGATCGGCCGTTTTAGAGCAAATTTCTCCACCATAGAAACCGCTCAGGCATTTTTAAACGATGGGATCTGTTCTGAATTTCAAGCTGTGGAAACTGAGTTGTGAAAGAACACAAAACTCTAATATCGAATAAAAACGACTCCTTGTCAGCCAATCTCTAAAAAAACGAACATAAAGAGCAACTGGAGGAGTGCGTATCGCCGCTGGCATCCTGAGCGAAGGCGGTAGCATTGGCTTGACGTCGCTCTGTTGTAGAATCGGCTTCACGTCTCGCGATGGTAAATCCGGCTTGATGTCTGGCTTGAAATCGAGTGGTGGTGGCAAAGCTAAAAACCTAATTTGGCCATGTCTCAAAACCTCACCGATAGCTTGAACCAACGGCCCCGTTATAGCAACAGATGGCTTAATGACGGGCATAAACTAAAAAAATCATTTCGTTCTAAATCAAATTCCTACCCCAAGGCCACCGAATGGCGCCGCGATAGCTGCGAGAGTAGATGGCTTTATCGGCTAAAAACAGACGATAAAATAGGCCGCAAAAATGACCGTGTCCACATCATCGCTCGAGCTCCACCGTGTGCCAGATGGCTTCTTCCTCTTGCTGCTTTCCCTTTCCCTCGAACGCATCGAGCCGCCAGACGGGCGTCGGACACGCCTAAGAAAATATATATTTTACACTTTCAAACCGAGTTTCATATGGAGAGAAAGCCTAACCTGTGGAAAATTTATCGAGGCTTGTTTTCTTATATCTAGAAGACAGAAAAACGACCAAATTAAAGAAAGTATAAAGCCTTAACTCGCAAAATCAGCCCGAAGTTACCAGGCCTGAGCACTTTTTCGCGGCTCAAAGCTTGATAACTTTTTTAAACTCGGCGTTTCGCAGATTTTACACATTGCGTTTTAACCGGGAAAAAATTCCCCACAAGATAGGGCAAAACGTCTTTTCAAAACCCAATGAACATCACAAAGGCCCCTTTTTAGTCAATAAAACCCCTTACTCCGGGGTGGCGCTTGACGAATCCCTTCTACTGTGTTTTCTCTGCCGGACATGGTGACTTCTAGAACCAAAATTAACGAGAAAACATTAGGGAATCTACCGTCGGTGGTCTCTTTCAGGTGAACGGGATCGAGAGCGAGCGCTGACCCGTCGCCGGTCCTTGTGGTGGCGGTCGTTGCGGTGGCGGTCGTGGTGGTGGCGGTCGTTGTGGTGGTGGTCGTTGCGCCGGGCATCACGGGGTGAGCGGCTTCTCGACCGTTTCCTTCTGCCCGAGCCGTGGTGGTCACCCGATCCACCATAGCCAACGCTACGGGAGCGAGAACTAAAAGAAAGGATTTTATATACATCATCAAACAGATTCAAATGATGCTGGATTTCAAAAAGCCAACTATAAAGCTAATATCTAAAAAGTACCGTCGCCTCTCGTCCCTGCGTCGATACCCATGCTTGTGATGATGTCCAGACATCACTGGAAAAGAATAATTAGTAAGAAAGCACAATATAAAGTGAGCGAAAGCGAGAAAACCCTCAGAAACTGGAAAAAGGCTTTTCAAGAGGCGAGAGCGCCGGCTCGGTGCGTACCATCTCTGGCACGATAAATTTATCATGATCCTGATCGATTATAAATAAAAAAAAACTCCTGAAACAAAGTATTAAAAGTTGAAAAACCCGTATCTGGTTTTTGAAATGCTTGAAAATTTCACAAGTAAGTGGTTTTTAGCGAATGAAATCGGTATCCGATCGCTTGGCCGGTGCCGCTCTCTGGATCGATAAATTTATCTGGATGCCAACCAATTATTAATAAAAAATGTTTTGAACAAAAGTGCTGCGTTCTAAAACTCGAAATTTCGGCCTTGCATGAAAATTTTTACCCGGAAGCGGTTTTTAGACATGGTAAATCTGCCTCGAATCTCTGTGAAACGCTGATCCCACAAGGCGCGGGCGGGGTTTGCTACGCAAATTTTTGCGCAGCCGAAGCTTTCTGGACGTCAAAATTGGGATCAAATTCGTTGAGAACGCTCATTGCGCGTCTCACAAGCCGCGGGCGAGCATTTTGTTGTTCATTTCCCGCAAACATCCATTCTTTTTTATTTGGTAAACATATTTTCTGGTAGTTTGCGTTATCGCGCGCCTGATCTTCGGCCAAGTTATTTACGTCTTTGAGTTAATAATCCGCGAATTTGGCTCTAAAACGAGAATCTGCAACGCGGGCACGAAGTCAGGATGTCAGATGGCGCTCAGAGTAGTCTACCGGCTGGACGGTCCGCACGGCAACATTTTTCTCTAATAAAGGTGGTATAAAATTAAAAAATCAGGTAAATGCATCATAACGCATTAGTTTAGGGCCTCAGTTCTTAGACATATGACCAGAACGAACAATTTGACCTTCTTCATGGTTCATTTTTACTTTTTTTTAGTGTAAACAAAGCTTTTTGATCAGTTTTTCATATATTTTCAAACCGATGAGACACATTCCCGTGCCATTTCGTTGCCGTTTCAAAACCGGCCGTACCTGGAAATGTTGCCGTTCACTTTTTCCCACCCACCTTCACTTCCGTGCGCCTCCCAATTTGGCCGTCTACCGTTCGGCTTTAGGTGGCGATCGAAGCGGCGGGTCCCCACCAAGGGGCGAATTATTCGAGGCGCTAGGGCGAGAGAGGGGCGAGCTGTTTGCCGATTCCATTCTTCAGCGCTTCCGATTCCGCGCGCTCCGGGCCACGCGACCCTAATCGCTACGTTAATCACCGCGACTTCAGTCAAGTTGCACAACTTTTGGTGTTGATATTGGCTATGGTTTTGGAGTTTTTGTCGTTTTGTTTTAGTTTATTTCGCTTTTGGAGTCCTTGTTTTTGAAGGTTGAGCTTTGTTCGCATTTTAGCTAGCCTTCTTGAGCTTTAGGTATTTTTTCTATAGTTTTCATGAGCTAAATTAATCTATTCTATAAATTCAGGCCGTAAGGCAGGCGCACAGTATTGGCACGTTAATTGCCGTGCCGCGTAACCAGCATTTGACTACCCCTGACTCCATTGGACAGGGTTACCTTATGCGCACTTGGCTAGTTCTCTTTTCTAAGCGTTTCTTACTGGATTTCTCCCTATATTCCTAAGTAAAATTTGCAAGTTTGCCTTTAGCAACCTTTTACGTCCTCTGGGTGACTCTAACGCCATTTTTTACCTAAGAATGACACATAACCTCAAACATATCCCTCATCTATTTTTAACGGCTTCACCCCGCCCCAAAAATTATTCGAATTCCATTGGAGGAGTCCATTTTTGGTCGGGCGGCTCAGTTGCGCCTCCTTATCTGTCGGCACGGCTTCACAGCAGGGGGTCATACGCCGCCAAAAATCCATAGAAAAATGCAGGGGTGGGTGGGTGTCTTCTCCCGTCTGTTGCAATGGCGTCTTGGCAGCTGGCGCGTTTTATTTTCTTAATTTTCGACGGTTTTTTGTTATTGATTGGGAATCGCTAGAGGGTTTTGTACTAGTTGGCCCCCGATTCGAGGCGTTTTTCGGGATTTACAAGACCTTTCGAGCATTCTCTACTTCCGGTTTACACGGACTAGCTTGGATCTGCTTCTTTACGAATTTTGATGCTTGTTTCATGCATTTTCGATTTTTTTTGAGCCAGCTAGCAATGGTTATTTGGGAATTTTTGTTGAACGGCTTCTTGCTTTCTTTTCTTTCAACTTTCAGGCATGCTGGCAGGGTTTCTTTAGGAATTCCGGAAAATCGTGATGAAATGTTGGTGCTCTAGGCAAATTAGCCGGGTTTTTTTTAGGAATTTCAATACTTTATTGTGCCTTTTCTACTTTTTTTTGGAACGGCTGTAAGTATTTTACTTTGTCTTTTTCACTGAAAAGCTTCTTCTTTTCCTCTTGGGGAGATTTTTTGGAGGTGCTAGCATGGATTCTTTAGGAAATCTAGCAGAAACACTTTATTAAAATCTATATTCAGTCAAGCTAGAAGGCATTTTTAGTGAATTTCCAAGCCCTCACACCCTCACTACCGTAAATTCCACTGATTCCCCTCGTTTTGACCTCGTGAATGCAGTGTTTGATCGAGGTTGTGGAATTGGGCGTGAGCCCAATTGCCCTCAACCCTCCAAACCATCGGCTGATATGAAAATGGCCTTGAAATTTGCCCTCCAGCCTGGGCTGCATTGCCTCCACGCCCAACATACTCAGCCAGCAGCCCTCCTCCTCCTCATCCCCCAATCACTCGATGAAAACCGATTCGTCGGGCGGAACCCTCATTTCTGTATCTCTCTCTCTCTCTCTCTCTCTCTCTCTCTCTCTTTTCTGCTCTGCTCTCTATCTCTCTCTCTCTCTCGACTAAAGGAACCGTCCTCCTCAACCCTAATTAGCCGTTATGTGGTCGCGCTTTTGGCGTAAATTGCCTGCGCGGCCGGCAATTTTTGTGGCACTTGACTCCCGAATGAATCATTTTTAGCTTTTAGTGGTGGCAGGCTAGCAGAGGTTTTTGGGGAATTTTCTGAGAGATTCCTTTTCATCTGTTCCTTTCTGATAGAGAATCCTAATCCCTCTAAATTTATATTCCGCTTTCTAATGGTAGTTTTTTTGAGATTTTGTTGCTGGCAAACTAGCAGAGAAATCTAAGGAATTTTCGATACGCGCTTCATTGTGTTCATGTTTTTATTTTGTTTTGAGATTTTTTGGAAGTTTTCGTTCTATTTTTTTGACTTCCTGGTGCCTTTAAAAACTCATTATGCTAATCAGGCCACCAGCCTCGTATTTACCCCCTATTATTTACCGGGTTTGGCGCTCTGTGGCTTTGCCTGGTTGAAGGGGAGGGACAGGTGTGTGATGGGCGGTGGGGGTGGACAGAGCGTGAAAACATGGGCTTTTACCCAGCCCGATTTTACCTCCCCCACCCTCCCAGCCGTTCCGTCACTTTACTATCAACGTATATACCCTAGCCGTGTGACTTTTAGATTTCGATACCTGTCGCTACGGTATTTTTGTTACGGTAGCCCAATTTTTCTCTTGAAAATAGAATTTTTAATGTTAAATTGCTTTGTTAGACGTTTAGATTTTTTAATCATCGAATTTCGCAACATATTATCTCGCCAAAATTTGACTTAACGTTTCGCGAAGGTTGGCATTTAGAAATCTTCTACATTGTTTTGGGCTAATTTCATTACAGTATCGCGATTCTCCTAAAAACTGCATTTTTTCGTCAGATTCCAAAAAATCTCAAGATTTGCCACTTTTTATAGACCACCAGCGCTGACCCCCCGCTCCGCGGGGGTTCAGCGCTGGCCCTCCCGGGGGGAAAAAGTAATAATAAATAATAATAAATCAACATCCCATACACCGAAATCCCGAAATCCCGAAATGCCCCGGCTCCCGGACCCGTCCGAACCGGTCCTGGGGGTCCCGCAGCGATCCGTACGGACGGACGGTCGGGCGCACGGACATTAGCGATTTATATATAAATTATAGACCATATTTCCGCTACAGTACCCCAATCCTTACTAAAAAATAGCTTTAGAAAACGTGTCTTTCCAAGCTATCCAAAATTCCAGACGAAACCAAATTCCGCCAAGGCCGCCCGATCCGCCGGGGGATAATTATACACTTGTATATCTCGTGTTTTTTTTGCGCTGGCGCCCCGGTGTCAAGGCCGCAAAAACACGAGGGCCAGGATGCCAGCAAAAATTGAACCTATCGGTTTGTTGGCGGATTCAAATTGAGTTTTATCATTTTTGCTGGTGCGGCGCCGCGTTAAAAGTCGTTTCACTGCGTGAATTGGAGCTGTAAAAAAATTAAAATAGATTTCAAAACCTAAAACACGCATAAAAACCTAAACATCCTTTTTGCGGTTGCCCTCGTGTTCGTTCAGCTGTTTTCGATTAGTCGAGAGGAAAGATGGCACATGGAAGCCCCGCACCCACCCAACCCCCATCCCCCCACTCTCACACACTTTCCCCTCCAGGCGCGTCCGGTTGGAAACAGGCACACTAATCATACCGACTTTCTAACGGAGGCTCGGCTTGTTAGATTGTTTCTTAAATTCCATTAGAATTCATATAGCTGTATCTTTTGCGAAAGAATCTTGTCCCAAATGGTCTCTGCTAGCCTGCCTGTGTTGGAAATGGGCTTTCAAGGTCTTCCAGAACGACTTTATCGGTTCTCAAATTGTCTCGGCTAGCCTGCCCTGGGCTCTAGTGGCGGTCAAAGATTCCTAAATGATCCATGTCAGCCTGCCACGAGTTCCCTGAATTCCTAAAGAGTCTCTGTCTTGAATTCCGGCATTTTTCTCTGGTTGCGTTGATTCCTAAAACATCTCCGCTAGCCTACCATCGATTCCTAAATGATCTCTGCTAGTAGGCCTTAAATTCCAAAAGGATCTTGGCTATCTTGCCCGGAGTCCTCGAAGATCTTTGCTAGCTGGCTATTTTCTAAATGGTCTCTGCTGGCCTGCTCTGAATTCCTCAAACATCTC